ACCCCCGAAGGGGCGGGAGTTCAAACGCCCCCTCTTTGGGTTTGAGGTCCCCCCAGTTCGCGGAGATCATCACGGGATTCACGCCCGGGCCAGGGGCCTTTATTTTGGTGGAGTATCTTTCGCCGAAGTGCCGCCCGCGCCGGCCAAGCCCCAAGAGACCCCCCACAGGGCCCCCTCCCAGGGGGAAGACTAAAGTGTGTGTGTGCTCCTCCCGGGGGGGATGGCTTCCGTTCCCGGGGGTTGCCTTGTGCCTTGAAAAATTTTTTTTTTTTTTTTTTTGGGCCCAGTCCTGTCCCCATTTTTTTGGGAGGGAGTTTTTTTAAAATTTTTTTTGGCCCCCGGGTTTTAATTATTTTGGTGGGGGGGGGTGGGAATTCCCCAATGTTTACCCACCCAAGGGGGGGGATTTTTACACCCCCGTTTTAACAGGTTCAAGACTGATTTTGGATCCAGTTGATACGACCCCCCCGTTGAGGGCTTGGGGATTCGCTTCAGGGTGGAGCCCCCAAGGTTTTTTTTGGTCCTTCCAAAGGGTCACGTAGGGGAACTTTGGTTGCCCCGGAGGGGAGACCGCCCTCGGGGGGAACACCAGGCCCCAAAGGGCACGGGCCCTGCCCTTTGGGACCATTTTTGGAAACTTCACCCCCGGGTGAGTTAAAAGCCCCCCCCCCCCCCCCCCCGGCGGCAATTCCCGGCAGCCCTCGATGAGTCACAAAAGCAATGTAATGGAGCAGCGCACAACACTGATAGTGACCGGGCCTAAAAACCATATGGGAAACAAGAAGATGGACTCCTTCTTCTTGCTGCATGGACTACGTGCGTGACGGCTACGACCTTCTCGCGGCGCAGTGCCGCGAGCACGTCCCGGCCGCCAGCGTCCCGGTTGAGGTCACCTTTTGCGACGCCCACTACCGCGGCGACGCGCCACGACCGGTTCCGTGGCGGGCGGCGCTCGACGAGATATTTTCGGACGCGCTCGCGGCACGCCCCCTGCTGGGCGTCGCGACCGGCGGCTGGGTGGTTCAGGGCGCGCGCGACGGCGTCGGCTTTGAGTACGACGGCGAGTCCGGCGCCCGGAACCGCCGATTCCGGCTCACGGCGCACCTCGAGTGCGGCCCGGACGCTCCTCTCCACGCTCCTCGAGCCGGAGCTGATCGGGAAGCTCGACCCCACCACCCTCTGCCTCCGCACGCTCGCGGTGCTGGAGGACGGGAGAGACGCCGGCGCCGCGCTCTGCCACACGGTGGCCAAGACGGGCTTCCCGTTTCGGCACCGCGACTTTGTCGACGTCACCGCGTGGAAGCGGCTGCCCGACGGCACGGTGCTTCAAGCGGCTCGGTCCTGCCCGACCGCCGCCGCCTCGGTCCCGTATGTCCTCGCGCCTGCCGCCGCCGGCGGCACCGACCTCACCCTCGTCAGCCAGACCGACCTCGCCGGCTACATGCCAACTCCGGTCACGAACCGGCGCGCGGCCGTCAGCAGCCAGCACAGCGCACAGTCACGGCTGCCGCCACACGCTCTCACCCATTTCCTCGCCGCAGGATGGTTGGCCCCGTGCTGGCGGACTACGTTCGGGCGCTGGAGAGGGTGACGATATCGATAACACGCGTGCAATTTTTAAACGTTCCTGT